GTTCAAAGCCAGCCTGGGCAGGAAAGTCCGTGAGACTCTTATCTCCAATAAACCACTAGAAAACCAGAAGTGGTGCTGTGGCTCAAGTGGTAGAACACTCACCTTGAGCTGAAGAGCACAAGGACAGCACCCACGCCCAGAGTTCAAGACCCATTACCGACCAAAAAAAAAAAAAAAAAGCTCATTCCTAATCTCAGGAATTATTTTTCAAGTTGACCACTTTTAAAGAGTATTTTGAAGGCAAGAGTCAGTGCTTTGACTCGGAAATAACCATGTGCTCTGTTGACTTTCCTTATTTTCTCAAGCAGACTAGGGTATATTATGTTGATTAAACTTTTATCAATATTGAATTATAGCATGTTTCATCTTTTTCAGTACAGAAACAAAAAACTGCAATAAACTTCCTGTCTCTTTGTACCTAGTTTCACTTAGGAACTGCAATTGTACTATTTGAGTGGAGGGCTCAAATTTAACTGGTAGAAAACACAATCAATAAACTTCAAGGTAGTTGAGGACCATTAAACTAAACAATGTCTTGTTTCCTCAAATTCTGTAAGTACATTTAATGTTGTCTTAGAAACAAAATTATTCCCATAAAGTCCATTTGTGTGACTGTGTGTTAATACTAACCTTGAAATGTCTGCCACCTACCATTATACCCCCATATTTCTCCATAAAAGTTTCAGTAAACTTACAGTCCTGACACAGTATGAACAAACCTCTATCTGGGAATGATTAAACTTGCATATGGATTTAACTTAGCACAGGAATAAGTTAGCACCTTTCTTTGACCTCTTTCTGAGCATAACACACACCAGGATCTAGAAGTGATGAGGATTTTATAGCAGCTGGCTTCCCCAGGTGGTAAGCCAGGCTCTAACACATGATGGGTCCAGTTATTTGGCAAGTGTGAATTTTGGAAGTGAGTATCCGCCACTCTTATTATAAACTGGGAGTTGAGTTGTTTTTATGAACTTCTACCCTGGAGAACTTAAAATGTATTTTTGAAAACAGATGAGCTTACAATTTAACTGGGAAGAAAAATTCTGTTTTCTTGCATTTTCACATGCTTTGATGGTTAGTAGTTGACAGCCTTGGAGGAAAGTTTCTCTCCTGTGGCTCCTAGCCTTCTCCATTAAAAAATGAGGGCTTCCTTCTGATTTAGATCTATCTCTAGATAACTGCTCTTTAAGAAATATAATGCCCACGCTGGCCATAAGACAGAGATTGCCATTTGTTAGTCCTTTCTAGATGAATATTTTCAGTATGTTGAAAATATTTTCAAAGATATAAATATTTCAAAGAAATAAATATAATTTCTTTCAATCAGTGCTTGGTAACATGCACAACTTAAAAAATTTCTTTATTAAGTAACTAGGTACTAGTGGCTCATGCCTGTAATCATAGCTACTCAGGAGGCTGAGATCTAAGAATCAAGGTTCAAAGCCAGGCAAGGCAGGAAAGTCTGTGAGACTCTTATCTCCTATTAACAACCAGAAAACTGAAAGTGGAGCTATAGCTCAAAGTGGTAGAATGTTAGCCTTGAGCACAAAAGCTCAGCGACAGCACTTAGGCCCTGAGTTCAAGCCCCACAACCAACAAGAAAAAGTTCTAGTAACTATTATAAATGGTATAGAGGAATAGGTGAAATCACCGTTTAATATATTTTATTTAATATGTCTTAAGTATTATTCAACATTCAGTTGGCATAAGTATTTTCCCTTTTAGGTAATAATTTTTCCCTTTCCTTTTTCTTCTCTTCTCTTCCTTTCTCTCCTCCCCCTCCCTAACCCAGCGAGAAGAATTTTAGTGAAAATTAGAGTGTCACAGACTTTCCTGCCTGGGCGGTTGTTGCATCTCTAACTTCAGATCTCAGCCTCTTGTGTAGCTAGGATTACATGTGGGAGCCACTGGGGCCCAAGTCAGAAAACTGCTTTCTTTTTTGTGTGCATTAAACAAGACAGTCTTACTCTAATGGCTTAAGAGTAAGAAAGAAGAAACTTACCAGTCACCATGTCACACATTATTTATGTTTTAACATAATCTTATCATACAAATAATTTTAATTCTCCTTAGTACTATGCATTGTCAAAATAGATAAGAATTCTAAAAACAAGTTCAATAAAATAAGTGACAAAGTATATTCAAGTAGCTAATCAGCTTTACTTGTACTATGTAACTTTTAGGGATAACATTAATTTGAACTAGAAGTATAACTCTGTATAAACTGACAAATCTTTAAGGTCATACAGAATTCCAGCCCTTCATTCTCAATAAAATTTCTGTGTATATAATTAATTGCTTGTAGTATTTAAGTGATTACCTTGGATAAATTATTCTTTATGGTTTCGTCATCTCTCTTCACCACCTGCATCATTTCTTGGGCTCCAAGGTAGGCAGCATTAGCTACATTTAGCAAACAAAAAGCCAGATACTTAGAATGTGCAAAACAAACACAAAAATGAATTAAGTTTTGAAACTCACACATCTCCCCTTTTCAACAGGTCAAGTGCTGATATGAGATATTGGTAAGGCCATGAGAGAGACATATGCAGGTAACACATATGGCATCTGGAAATGAATAGATCGTGCTAAATTTAGTACATTTTTAATGTTGGGGATGGGCAAATACAAACAAACAAATACATAGTACAATGTGAGACCAAAATAAGCTAAGGAGATAGACTGTGCAGAGATGTGGTATCTATTTCATGTAAAGTATACTGGAGTGCCTCAAAGAGGGATGTCTGAACTAGATTGACATGAAAAGAAGGGGTTGGGCCAGCTAACACTGGGGGAAGAAACATTTCAGACAGAAAGGGCAGGGCAGACACTTTCTCTAGCTGAGGATTGTAGAAGCCCTATGCAGCTAAGGATAACTTTTGAGGGAGAAAGCTAGCATGGGTAGGGGATCTAGTTTGTTGTTCCCTCTCATAGTGGTGCTTGCCTGTGGTTCTCTCTCTGTTGTTTTGTTGAGTGTTGTTTTTGATGACTTCTTAAAGGAAAGCATACTAGAATACATATCCTGTATTTTCTTAGCCTACTTTCTTAAGTTGAGACTGGACCTTTAGTCTATAGCTATACATTAAGCAAGTGCAATACAAAGCTTTAAGTCTTATTTCCAAAGTCAGAATATTTTTGTTTTCCTAACAAAACAAGGTATTTATAATAACTGAATGGATTAAAGCAACAGGAATTTGGTTACTACATTACAGTTCATCCACTCAATTACTCTACTATATATACTCTATGGTGATGAATATAGAATGTCAAATACATATTTAAGAGTATCATAAAAAGGAGATTACAAAAAATGCCTTGTGATCTCATTGTTATAGAAACAGTGTATGGTTGGGATATATATGAAAAGATGGAGAACAAAATAATCACAGTGATTATTTGTGGTTAATGGAATCTCAGGGGATTTGCTTGCCCTTCCTCTTACCTTCTTCCCTTCTACTGGTGACAGTGTTTCTTTTTTTCCTTTTGTATATGCTCTTCCTATAATTATTTCATTAGTCATGCACAAAAATTCCCTTTTTTCTTCAACAATCTATCAGTGTTTGCAGATTTCCATCAAATTTTATTCCCAAGTAACCAACAGACCTAATAATTTGTCTATCACATCCTTCTTCCTGTAGAGCCTTCCTTTTCTTTCTTTCTTTTTGCCTATCTTAAACTGATTGCTCTCCAAACTTGCTGCATAGATGTCACCCGCGGGCTTTTCTGGACTAGATTCTTTGTTTTGCAGATTCTGTCCATGACTGTCTTTCTTTGGTTTATTTTTTCACTGAAGCACATTAGTTAGATTTTATACATGTTTACATACCTAATTTTTTGCATTGATTTATAGTTTGGCTATGTATAGAAGTTTAAGCTAGGAATGGCCAACTCTCCACAATCTAGCATCCAAGGTTAGTGGTTACAATTCTAGTTTTTATGAATGTAACTACTTCCCTTAAATTCTTCCCACCTCCCTCATTCCTTTACTCTCAAGCTCAAGAACTCTTCTTAGTATCTTCATCTCAGTTCTGAGGGAACACCAATTCATAGATTCATAGGAATTTTTAACATATTAGGGCCAGACACCTGGTGGGCTCATTTATTCCTGGACTCATTGAATTCATTTCTGAATGTTTCTGCACCCCCCTTCTGCACCCATTATTTCTTTGATAATTTCTTGTCCTATTTTCTCTGCCTTTTCTGTCTGGAACTTCTACTAGTAGGTTATTAGGCCTCAGAGATTCATTTTTTTTTTTTTTTTGGTCGGTTGTGGGGCTTGAACTCTGGGCCTGGGTGCTGTCCCTCAGCTCTTCAGCTCAAGGCAAGCGCTCTACCACTTAAGCTACAGCGCCACTTCCGGTTTTGTGGTGGTTTATTGGAGATAGGAGTCTCATGGTCTCTCCTGCCCGGGCTGGCTTTGAACCGCGATCCTCAGATCTCAGCCTCCTGAGTAGCTAGGATTACAGGCGTGAGCCACCAGTGCCCGGCTCATTTGTTAAATTATGTTTTTCTTTTCTTTTTTTTTGGGGGGGGGTCCAGTTGTGGGGACTGAACTCTGGGCCTGGGCGCTGTCCCTCAGCTCTTTAGCTCAAGGCTAGCGTTCTACCACTTGAGTCACAGAGCCACTTCCGGATTTTTTCTTTTTTGCTTATGTGGTGCTGAGGAATCAAACCCAGGGCCTCAGGCATGCAAGGCAAGCACTCTACCACTGAGCCAACTTCCCAGCCCTAAATTATATGTTTTTCTATAACCTTTCTCTCTATTTCCCTTATTCTCTAGAAGATTTCTTCAACTGTCTCTTCAGCAAAGATTTTCCTGTTCTTTTTCCATTTTCATAGCCTTTTTTCTTTGTTTTACAGATGTTTTGTCACCTTTCTGAGATTAAAGAGCTTTTAACAAATGTCTTCCCCCTGCTTTTTCCTGTTTGTTGCATTATCCATTTCCTTGGAGTCTTCCTTTCTTTGAGCCTGTATTTCTGTTTTGGTCTCTCTTATCTTGAGGAAATTCCTGATGTACTTGCATCATATAAAGCAATCTGCTCTTAAAGCAGCACCTGATTCTCTTTATCAGTCTTTAATTTTGATCCAGACTTAGATTACTTGCTTGCTGTTCAGAGCTACAAAATCATGAAGGACAACTGTCTTACTGATTTGAAAAGACTTCATTTAATAAACGTGTCTGGTAGATGTCCATGTTTTCCTTCTGTGATAATTGTTTCCTATTTTTCATGACAAATTGGTATACTATTATTTCTCCTTCAGAGATAGGAGCTATAAAGTTGAGGAAAAGCATCTTTTCATGTATCCTCCTCTAGCTTTGACTTTCTGAAAGTCCAGGTCCTATGTTCCTAGACCTCTGTTCACTTCTGGATAGAATTCTCCCACTGAGATACAGGCAGGATGCCAAGTTTCTTTTCTGTTACAGCAGGTCTTGATGGGCAGCCATCCATCCCCAGCAATTCTTTATAATGGGGTGGTCACTGAGTGACATGGATAGGCTAGCCTCAGCTGAGATTCTGCATTCTTGACCCAGTACGTCCAAAGCACTTTATCTGCAGTGTAGACTCATTTAGTCAAGAGGGTACACAGGACTTGTTCCTCTCCCTTCACTGTAGACACAGCCTGTTTGGGTTTTATTACCAACAGACTGAATGCCAAACAAGTGCTTTCTCCTACATGAAATAAAAGCCCCAGTGGCAGTCCTCATTAGTGCACTTTTCTCTTAGGTGGAATTTTCCCTATTGCAACTCAGGGCACTTGAAATCAACATAAAAAACATGGATAACTGACTATTGATAAAGCATTACTCTGTCATTGTAAACAGATTTATCCTTACCTTTTTTCAGAGATTCTATAATCAAGTCAATTCAATGTTTGTTTCTTGTATCAGAAACACAAAATGTTTGCTAGAGCAACATACCTTTAATTAACCTTCCTATAAAGATGTCATTATAGATAGTCCAGAATCTACAGGAGGATTATGTTACAGAAGTTGGACTAAGTGAACCAAGTTGAACTCGGTACTTGTTTCTTCAAGGTGGTGGAGATAGGGATGGGGAAGGAAATTCCTATAGTAATGTAGGCTTACATCTTACTTACTACCTAGATAACTATGATAACCTAGATAATTGATGCTAATATCAGATATCCTCCAAGGTCAGTTAGTCCTCTCTTATCACAGAAGACTGTACACACAGTTTGAAACCTGGTGTGGTGTGGGAAGGCCCAACTTTGGTGCATGGCAGCCATATGAGATGCTTTCTGGGCTGCCCACACCTATATATTTTGAAGTATACGGTTTTGTAGAATTAAATGTGTAGCTTCCATACCTTGTACTTGGCATTTTGTTAATAATAAAGTTTTATAGGAAATACTCCAGTCATTTTTAATGAGAAAATTTTGACTTTAAGCTGCTTATAAAAAATCCTTATGAAATTTAACATATACAGTAGATTTCTATGAAATAAAAATGTTTTCAGAGATGGAAATCTCAACTGAATTTTGATTTCAAATGGAAATAAGTTCACAGTTCTACTTCTAAGTAAAATGGAGTAAGAGGGACAAGATTTGTCATCCTTCCTAAAAACAACTAAAAAAGCAAGACAAAATATATGAAAAAAAAGTTTTTGAGATTCTAGATAGTGGGCAAAGACAGTGATCTCTGAGAAAAGAGTAATCAATTTTTGAGTAATAAAAGTGTAGAGCAAAGTATAGAGCAATGAAATGAAAAGAATCACAAAGCACATGGATGAACATTGCAAACACTATGTATAAAAAAAGCCAGCCATAAGAGAATGTACATTAGGTAATTTGAACAGGGCAAAATTCAAAACCAGGTAAAATTAAATAATGTAACTAGATGTCAAGGTGGTAGTTACATCTGGGAGTTCAGATCAGCAGAGGCAGAGGAGAGGCCTTTGGGATCTGTGCATTGGTGACTTTTTGGTGGGGTGGTATTTATGGAATTCTGTTTTGTGACAATTCAGGTAAGTATACATTTGTGCTTTAAGCTTTTTTTGTCATTCTTAAATTAGAAAAAAAACTTAATTCAAATAATTTATATTGAGTCTTACATTTCTGGAAACCAGTTCTTCATTGGGGAATGTATTAACTTTATTCTTATTGTTACTTATTTTGTCCTGCTAATTTCCCATCTAAATATGTAATAATAATAATATAAAAATATATAAAAAGCACACAATACTAGTTCCTTTTTCAGTAATTGCTCTGAAGAAGCCATCTTTGTCATTCTTCAAAAATGCTCATAATGCAATTCAGTGCTCAGAAATAATAATACCAAATAGAAGTGTAATTTCCTAAGTGGAAAACACATTTCTCTTGGCAACAACCGTCAACAACATTCCTGGAAATACAGCAGAATTCAGAGCGCTTCAAGGACCATAG